AGGGAGCAAAATAGCCAAAAACCATCCCCCAAACAGCCTAGAGCAGCTCACGGGTAAGACCAGGAAGAAGAGTGGGGCTCACGGGTAGGACCAGAAAGGAAGGCAACCAAGCCTCACAACAAGCCCATGAACAAGAATTGTGAAATGCACAACAAAACTTCAGCATAAGTCCACAATTTAAAACAAGAAATAGGGAAAATGTTTATAGGTAGCGGTAGCAAAGAGAGAGCCAAACCCCAACCATGTCACTAGACCAAAGAACCACTGCAGCAAGGCTCATGGATAAATGGGCAGCAAAAAGGCGACTACAAAGGTAGCAAACACCAAGTCAGTCGAAAAGAAAGCCACAATAGGTAATACCATCACATTGTATTTGATATACATAAGAGAGTGAATGGACAAACCATTATAGATCATCAGGACCGAACCCACTTTCATCCCATAAGGCATAACAATGCTCAAGCTAAACATTCCCACATAGCGATAGGTATTGAAATTCATGCATTTTTGGATGACAAACTTGATTACCAATAAAAATCTTAGGAGGAGCATTGAAGAGAAGGCCCCAAATAAACTATGCCCAATAAAAGTGTTAAGCCGAACCCAAAGAATAGTTTAAGCAATAAGAGATTCTAACCAACATAAATCACTAAAAGGAGTCCAAATCGAGCCCAGCACAAGGGCAAACCAAGCCCAACACAAGGCTAAAACAACAAAGATCTCAACCAAGGCATAATACAAAAAGAAGCTAAAATCGAACACACCAAAGAGGCCCAAAATAGAGAAAATTCTCATGTATGATTCCCACCTAATATGGCCAAAACCAAGCCATCCAAGCGGGTCAAAACAACCTTCCAGCATAGGAACAAAACCAGACCCATCAAAGGGCTAAAACAGCAAAGATTTCAGCCATGACATGATATCAAAAGGAACCAAACCGAGCCCAACTATATGGGGAAAACAGGACCCAAAAAAGATCCATTTATAATTTGATTCAAAAGAAGTTCAAAATGAACCCAACATATGAGCAAACCGAGCCCAACATATGAGCAAAACAATTGCAAATATCTCTAGCAAGAATCTATTTCAAAAAGAGTTAAAGCCGAACCCAACAAGTGAGCTAAATGAAATGCCACTTTTAGCTATTATGAAGCCAAGACCGAGCCTCTCACAATGGGCTAAAACATAAAAATTTTCAGCTAGCATTTAGTCCAGCATAACCAAAACCGAAACCAAATCAGGGGAAAAAAAACGAGCAACATAGGGATGAAACCGAGCCCAAAAACAAGAGGGGCAAGACAAAGGAAATTTCCAGCATTTGTTTCTCCCAAATGAGCTAAGACCGAAACCCACCACATAAAAAAAATGCTTTCAACATATGTTTCAAATAATGATAGGTAGCATGAAATAGATAAGCACGAGCCAATCATTCGTTTCTCTTTTTTTTTAGAGCCAACCCAACATTCTTCAACATTCCCATTATAACCTTCATTTCAAGAAGGGCAAATCTCATCTCAAAACCACCATTATGATACTTCTAAATATCTTAAGCAAGAATAACAAAAACACCCATACATGCTATATTGTGATGTTTATAGGAATTATTTCATGCTTAAATCTTAAAACATACCCAAATCTTGCTTCCACATGAGATAGGAAATATTTTATAACATCCGAAATATTGCAAGAATAGAGGAGAGGAGAAGAATACCTCTTCATGCCGACTTAAAGCAAAAAAAAAAAAAATGTAAGAAAGATCCAATAAAGTGCCTCCCAAAGAAATATTCTTCCTAAAAACTTCAAAAAAAAGGAGCAACCAACAAATCCTTTAATCTTTCAGCACACAAAAAGCTAGCCAAACAGAAATTTCGACGGAGCCATCTTTTTGAAAGCTTTGAGAAACAGCCACCAACGAATGCTCCACGCCCCAGCACACAAAAATCAAATTTTAGATAAGATGTTAGTAGAGCTTTCTCCTCTAAAACTTCCCACAGTAAAGAAGAAGGAAAACAATCACTCGGGCAACAAAGAGAAAAGAACACAGTCTCTTCAACAAAACCCCCACAAAAGAAAAACACACACCACTAGAAAGTAGATAGGCAGGGAATATAAAAGAGAGCACCACTTTTGACGCCCTAACCAACAAATCGAGGGAAAGGAAGGAGGCGTCGCCATAAAGGAGGAGAGCGTACAACCTCAAGTAGAAGGAGCGTTGGCCAGCTCGCCTCCTCTAATTGGAGAGCTGAACGGCTATCGTGCTACGTAAAGAAGGGGAAGAGACGTGGGAGAAGACGGGAGTGTTTAAGGGTGGGTCCCAACTTTAGTTTTCTAAGATAGTCAATAGGAACTCCTAGAGCTAGATCCTAGGATCTTAAGGGAAAG